AAATACAGTTATGATTACCTTTATTACACTGATACCGGTCAGTACTTTGGATTATAATATTGCCTTTATCTTAAGTCTCTTCTACCAAATCCAACGCTTGCCACAAAATGTCGTCCGTCTTATACCCGTCCATATTGACAACTGCATACAAGGAACATGATGTATTGTTTCTTTGTAATAAGAATACACGAAACGGTCAACCTTGACCCTCTGATCCATATTAGCACAGGATTTAACGGGAATATGCAAAACAACTTGACATCTGTAAAATATACTCACTTGTCAAAGTTTGAACGAAGATAACCAAAGAAAGGTTACTAGTGGGGTTTCATGTAATACAAAAAAATTCTTATAAGTCATGGTTTGGTATTGTCAATAAATATGCTATCGGTTTTTTTTATTCATTTGATAATCAATGTTAACAAATATAGGGTTTAGAATGGGGTGTAAGTTAGTTATACACCTCGGGATACGGTGTGTCTGGATAAGAAACCCCTCCGGCCTCCGGCCGACGGGGTTTCTTATCCAGACACACCTATCCCTCGGTGTATAACTATAACTGCGTCTCCTACAGTTTAAGTTCCGTTTAATGTACTTTTAAATTTGTTAAAGACAATTAAAATTGAAAGGGTAATTGAATATAGATTTTCCTCAAGAATTTGTTCAGAGGGAGATGATAGAAGAGGTTTGTACTTAAAATTTGAAGTGCAAAGTAAAAAAAAAAAAACGTTTTATTTTTCCAATTTTAACCAACTCCCCCCTTTTGAACCTGTAATAATTTTGAAGACATGTCGTATCTAAACGCAGTCTGATTGATCTTCAACTAATTAGTATTTTTCCCGTTGCATATACCCAAAAATAAACCTCATTACATTTGATCCCAAAAAAGTCACTAAAAGGGAATTAATATTCAATATGTGGTAATAAATTCCATTCCAAAGAATGAGATACAATTTCTATTCCATATTTTGAATCGACGAAGTCTGTACAAAAATGTAAATTGCAAGGGGACCGCGGGAATGGCGGATTTGAATGGGGTTGGGGTGTGCGCTTTGATTGGAAACTTATAAAACAGTTAACCCCAAAATCGTCAAAATTTGTCTTTACGCCCCTGTGACTTTGAAAAGTCCTGTGTCCGCCCCTAAAGATAAGATTACATTTGAACTGTGCAATATATTTAAGATAATTCATGCACACCTAAGCTGTGCATTATCCAGATCATAGCACAGGAGCTACTGCAACAATTATTTTTTTGTAAGATTTGTAGTTTTATATTTAAACCTGTTCAAGGAACGTAATAATGGACAAGAACGATTTCTGTGTAGAAAAAAAATCTTACTGCATGAAATAAGTTTAGAGAATAGTAACAAAATATGAAACAAATATAAATATTAAACAGACGATAGCTCATTAAAGATGGAATAGTTTTTTTTTTTTTCCTTAACGAGCAGTGGCAAATAGCTCATGCATATTGAGGGGAAAAAATAAGGTCAATAAAGTTTAATGAATTATATATGAAAAATGCAAACTTTATGTCACGAATAAGTTCGAACTTTCAATTTAAAGAAAATTTTGCTAATATTTTCCGGCACAAATTGAATTATAGCTAAATTATAAAATAAAGTTTCTTGATATGCCAAATTAACGACGAAAAAGTTTATGGTATTTTTTTTCAATTTATCTTGTTAAATACAATTTCTCTTCTAATTGACAACGATCAAACGATGTAACATTCAATTTCATTTATTTCTGTTTTTTATTAAAAGTGACAAAAACGGGTTAATTGCTTTATTCTTCTAAATTTTATTTCCCTAAAGATTTTCAATAACCATAATATTTATGAATCCTATCATTTAAGTTCGCTATTATTCAACAATTTTTGTTAAACTGTAGCTACAACAGCTTACAATAAAAGTCTCTTCAGTGTACACATTTTTGTCTTTACTAGTTGTTTATTGGATAATTTTTAATCACCGTTAATATTCTTAATAACCATTGGTCACGCATGACATATAACAAAAGTATGACACGCGCCGATAAAAAACATGCAGCGAATATTATAGATTTCATAACGAGTGAGAATGGGATATCGCTTGATATCAACTCGAGTTATTTAGAGTGCATTTCTTTCTAACACAAACGATGCAAACAGCTAAGCGCGCACATGTTTTGATCATTTGTTTTTAACATACGTTTGCAAAGTTTACATAAACTTTGACAAACTATGCACTCGCTAAATATGCGTCTACAGTTTGTCGTTCATCGTTTGTTAGTACAAACGCTACATTTGTTTCTAACTTCAACCTTGAATTTTATTAAAATAAAAAAAAACATTGGAACAATTTGCAAAAAGACAAACAATGCAGTGAAATTTTCACCCTTAGTAGTGCCTATGATAGCGTATAAACGTAACAAAAATATAAAAGAATAACTTGCTTAATTAAGGCAATAGTTGGGAGACTTTTGAAAAGGGACCCATGATTTAACAGTATAAGCAAAAATTCCAAAAACACTGCATGTTAGTAATAATCTTAATTATAGGCAACAAACATTCATACATATGAAATAGAAAAAAACGGTGTAAAGTCTTGAGATTTATTAGGTATGTTGGTTGAAGGAACCGCATTTAATTATAACCGCGTAATAAGTCTGTTTAGTATTTACCAACAACATGTGCATGCATTATTAAAAGTTCAAACAGGGTCAGAAAACACTAATTAAACGATGTATTTGTTTCTACTTTTGTAGCGTTTAGAAAACGACAAAAAACGCCACACAACGTTTACAAAATTTAGGTTAGAAAGAAATGCACCCATAATTTCAATATAATAATAAACCAGCCTTCGTTGAGTTTATTATTACTATTTAAATTAAATAACGAGAAATAGATAACAGGCCACAACTATAAGAGAACTTCATGTATATTGCATGCATATTCGTCAGACAAGCATGCAATACGATGGTTTTTCGAATTTGTCAATTAATTTTCATTTTTTTTTTATTTGATAATATGTTCTGTAAGCACTAAGTAGTCTTTGGCGGCGGTAAGACGCTCTTATTAGGTCTTTCCACTTTTCTGTGGAAAGACCTATTGGTTTTGTTCTGAGATTTTATTTTTTTCTTCCGCCACATTTTGTTCTTGCGTAGTATTGTGGTTTTGCAAGATGTCGCTTAGATTTTTCGCATATGATATCGAACAGTTATTGCGCTTTTGGAACTGACCCTGTAAAACTGTACACTTTACGTTGTAAGAGTTATCTCCCCGAACACTGTTTTTCTTGTGCCCACTACTCCTTCGCAACCGTAAAAGATTACGACAAATTTATTTTACCAAAATGCTTCCTATATCTTCAAGATGATGAGTCGGTTTGCACCACAGTTCTCCGGAGTCTCCATAAGAGAGTTATTTCCCCTTATGCATTTGATATAAGTGATATGCATATAAACTCATAAACCGTAAGCCGTATAAACCTAGAGTAGCTTTATTGAAAGTCCTTGGGTCCCAACTTAGAAAATAAAGTCAAGGTCAAAGGTCAAGGTCATGTTCTAAATTTTGACATTCACTTCAAACTGTTTTTTACTCAGAAAAAAGTTAGTGGTAAAATTGAAAAAAATGTGAGCAAAATGTTAGTCGCGACATTATTTATGTCGTGAATATTTGTCGAAATAATACGCGTAGTATTTTGGGGGTTTTCATGCCACTGAAATGGAAAAATCAACAAATTGACTAATAATAGCTTCAAACTTTACAGCTCTCATGATGCGTACATGCAATTTATCTTTGTAAATCATCCAATGCCCACAACTACCCATCTAGCCCCCCCCCCCCATTTTTTTTTTAGGAATCCCATTTCTATTTTATTATAAAAATGCTAATCCTTCTTTTTTTATGAATAAATTTCTTTCTGAAATACAAATCTATTCCTGCAAAATAAAATATCTGCTCCAAATCATGTACATATATTTCTGAAAATTACTCGATAAACGTTTTTTAAAGTACTATAACACCAGCATTATTTTTGTGTGCATGCAATGAATGAGTCGACCAGTGGTCAGCGATTGGACAATAGTTTACCTGTAAAAAAAATCGAAAAAATATATTTTCCGTTAGCAGTATAAATCACGTGCAGTCCGCTTAACGTTCCAATCTGGATTGAGAAATTAAAATCAATTACGTAGAATTCTCTCCAAAGTTCGTAAATAGTAGTAAAATCCTAGAATCAAATGCATTAAAATGAAATCTGTGTTCCCGTAAATATGTGTACGAAAAAAGCATGCATGATCAGACTTCAATGACCTGTAAATGAAAGAAAATTAAATCCGTTTGCACATTCTTTATACATAGGTGTGGTCAGAACGACGTCTCTCTCTGCAACTGAATTAAATAAACTATCTTTCTTGTGCATATCAATCAGCTTGGTGACGTCACAATCATGTCAACCATCCGGTGCAACGCCTGCTACCTAAAATAAAATAGGGGTTTCCCCCTTTTCGGAAAGAATTAATCACATAGGTTAAATACAAAAGATCCATGCAGGTCAGGTCGGGCCATTTTAAATACAAAATTGAATACAATGCACACACAATAAGATCAATAAGTAAAAAATAAGTCACAAATTCCGGGAAGCACTATAAAAAAAAGAACATTTATAAAGGAAGATGCAAGGATATTTTTAAATCCTTGCATGTTCCTACAAATATCATAACTTGTATATAGCTAAAATGTTGCACGGACCCCTTTTCGTGTGCTCCTAGAGCCTAGGTCTCAAGTGTTTGAACACGGGCACTAGGCTCCCAATGCCTTTTTCACATGTTCATAGAGGCTAGGTCTCGAGTGTTTAAACACGGGCACTAGGCTCTCAATGCCTTTTTCACGTGTTCATAGAGGCTAGGTCTCGAGTGTTTAAACACGGGCACTAGGATCTCAATGCCTTTTTCACGTGTTCCTAGAGGCTAGGTCTCAAGTGTTTAAACACGAACACTAGGCTCTAAATGCCTTTTTCACGTGTTCCTAGAGGCTAGGTCTCAAGTGTTTAAACACGAGCACTAGGCTCTAAATGCCTTTTTTACGTGTTCCTAGAGGCTAGGTCTCGAGTGTTTAAACACGGGCACTAGGCTCTCAATGCCTTTTTCACGTGTTCCTAGAGGCTAGGTCTCAAGTGTTTAAACACGAGCACTAGGCTCTAAATGTCTTTTTCACGTGTTCCTAGAGGCTAGGTCTCTAGTGTTTACACACGGGCACTAGGCTCTCAATGCCTTTATCACGTGTTCCTAGAGGTTAGGTCTCGAGTGTTTAAACACGGGCACTAGGCTCTCAATGCCTTTTTCACGTGATCCTATAGGCTAGGTCTCGAGTGTTTAAACACGGGCACTAGGCTCTCAATGCCTTTTTCACGTGTTCCGTGTTTAAACACGGGCACTAGACTCTCAATTCCCTTTTTGCGTTGTCCTAGTGGATCGGCCCCATGTGTTTAACCAACCAACCAAACCACCTACCTACCAACCAACCAACCATTACATGCTTGTTGTGGTCCCTTGTGTTTAATACAGGTCCAAGATCTCATTTGTTTCGTGTTTGCTTGTTTCAAGCGACCTTATCTCACGGGTGTAATAAGTCAATCAATCAATCAATCAATCAATCAATCAATCAATCAATCAATCATGTTTCGGAGGGGAAAGACCGTTAACAATTGTTTTTAAAACAATTGATTTATATTTATTATTAGGTCTTTCCACTTTTCTGTGGAAAGACCTATTGGTTTTCTTCTGATTATTAGGTCTTTCCACTTTTCTGTGGAAAGACCTATTGGTTTTCTTCTGATTATTAGGTCTTTCCACTTTTCTGTGGAAAGACCTATTGTATTTGTTCTGATTATTATTAGGTCCTTCCACTTTTCTGTGGAAAGACCTATTGTATTTGTTCTGATTATTAGGTCTTTCCACTTTTCTGTGGAAAGACCTATTGTATTTGTTCTGATTATTAGGTCTTTCCACTTTTCTGTGGAAAGACCTATTGGTTTTCTTCTGATTATTTTTTTTTTTTTTCTTCCGCCTAATTTTGTTCTTGCGATAAATATTTGTTTCGCAATATGTCGCTTAGATATTTGGTATATGATATCGAACAGTTTATGCGCCTTTGAAATTTACCCTGCGAAACCAAATAATTTTCTTTGTAGGAGTTATCTCCCCGAACACTGTTTTCCTTGTGCAAGCATCTCCTCCGTAACCGTAAAAGAAATTTATTTTACCAAATTGCTCGTTATATCCTTAGGATGTTTTTTCCAATTTTGACCGAAGCGATACGTAAACTCCATATGAGAGTTATTTCCCCTTTGTATTTGACATAAGGGATATATAAATGTATAGCATGAATGGTAAGTGATAGAGACCTAAGGTATATTGATTTGAGTTCCTTGGTTCATTTAAATGCAATTGAGGCCAAGGTCAAAGGTCAAGGTCATATTTTAAATTTTGACTTTTCCTTGTTATTTGATCTCCTCTGTCACTTTTAAAATTACAAATTAAAGAACTAGTGCAAAATGTTTGCTAAATTGTGATTAAAATATGATACATTTGGTCTGAAATAATCCAATGATATCTTATATGAGTTATTGTCCCTGAAATGATTCAATTTAATGTTAATTGATTATTACTCCAACTTGGTACATGATAAAGCCATAAGATCTTTTGCAAAATGTTGGGTGACATATGACCTTGAAAAATGTCAACCGGAAGTGACCTTGAGTGAACCGGAAGTAGTCATTTTTGCATTTATTTCATGTAGAAGTACATAGAAACCATATATTTTTTGAATGGTCATACATTAATCTATCATTTGAGACTGGAAGTGATATTTTATAAACCGGAAGTAGCATATTATCTCCCTTATTACAGGCATAAGTATATATAAACCATATATTTTTGGAATCAGTGTAAATAAAGCTATCATATAAGAACCAAAGTGACATTTTCTAAACCGGAAGTAGCCAATTATCTCCCTTTTTACAGGCAAAAGTATATATAAACCATATATTTTTGGAATCAGTGTAAATAAATCTATCATATGAGACCGGAAGTGACATTTTCTAAACCGGAAGTAGCCAATTATCTCCCTTTTTACAGGCAAAAGTATATATACACCATATATTTTTGGAATCAGTGTAAATAAAGCTATCATATGAGACCGGAAGTGACATTGTCTAAACCGGAAGTTGACAATCATCTCCCTTTTTTCAGGCAAAAGTCTATAGAAACCATATGTTTATTGAATCAGTATGAAGAAACCTATGATTGGACGCCAATAGTAGCTTTGAGTAAACCAGAATTAGCTTCTCATCAATTATTTAGAAAATTGATGTGATAATACCTTCAATTGTTCTTTGAACAATCGGTTTTTAATTTTTTTTTTTTCTTCCGCCAAATTTTGTTCTTGCGATAAATTTTTGTTTCGCTAGATGTCGCTTATATGTTTCATATATGATATCGAACAGTTTATGCGCCTTTGAAATTGACCCTGCTTAACCGAATACTTTTCTTTGTAGGAGTTATCTCCCCGAACACTGTTTTCCTTGTGTGTGCATCTCCTCCGTAACCGTAAAAGAAAGCAACAAAATTATTTTACCAAATTGCTCGTTATATCCTCAGGATGTTTTGTCCAATTTTGACCGAAGCAAATACGTAAACTCCATATGAGAGTTATTTCCCCTTCTGTATTTGACATAAGGGATATATAAATGTATAGCATGAATGGTAAGTGATAGAGACCTAATTGATTATTACTCCAACTTGGTACATGATAAAGCCATAAGGTCTTTTGCAAACTGTTGGTTGACATATGACCTTGAAAAAAGGAAACCGGAAGTGACCTTGAGTGAACCGGAAGTAGTATTGTTTGCACTTATTTCATGGAAAAGTACCTAGAAACCATATATTTTTTGAATGATCATAGGTTAACCTATCATTTGAGACCAGAAGTGACATTTTATAAACCGGAAGTAGCATAATATCTTCCTTATTACATACATAAGTATATACAAACTATATATTTTTGGAATTAGTGTGAATAAAGCTATCATATGAGACCGGAAGTGACATTTTCTAAACCGGAAGTTGGCAATTATCTCCCTTATTTCAGGCAAAAGTATATAGAAACCATTTATTTATTGAATCAGTATGAAGAAATCTATACTTTGACGCTATTTATAACTTTGAGTAAACCAGAAGTAGCTTCCTATCAATTATTTAGAAAATTGATGTGGAAAGACCTTCAATTGTTCTTTGAACAATTGGTTTTTAATTAGGTCTTTCCACTTTTCTGTGGAAAGACCTATTGTATTTGTTCTGATTATTAGGTCTTTCCACTTTTCTGTGGAAAGACCTATTGTATTTGTTCTGATTATTATTATTATTTATTTATTTTTTTTCTTCCGCCTAATTTTGTTCTTGCGATAAATATTTGTTTCGCAATATGTCGCTTAGATATTTCTCATATTGTATCGTATAGTTTATGCGCTTTTAAATTTCACCCTGCTTAGACAAACAATTTTCTTTGTAAGAGTTATCTCCCTATTCACTGTTTATCAAGTGTGTGCATCTCCTTTGTAACAAAAAAAAGATATCGACAAAATTCTTTTTCTAAATTGTTCGTTACATCCTCAGGAATTTTTGGCTAATTTGGATGGAAGTGATTAGATGAAATTTTATAGGAGTTATCTACCTTTACCAAAAAAATTTGTCGGTATGTTTTTTTATCTCATAAACCTTTAACCGTATAACCCTGGAATGTTTTTATATGAGGCCCCTAGGAATCAAACTTAGAAAATGAAGTCAAGGTCAAAGGTCAAGGTCAAGTTCTAAATTTTGACTTTTCCTTGTTTTTGCATTTTCTCAAACACTTTTAAAGATATATATAAAAGAACAAGTGCAAAATGTTTGTTTTATTGTAATGAAGATATGATACATTTGGTCTGAGACAATCCAGCGGTATCTTATTGGAGTTATTGCCCCTGAAATGTTTTATTTTAAGATAAATTGATTATTACTTCATATTGGTACATGATAAAGCCATAAGATCTTTTGCAAAATGTTGGGTGACATATGACCTTGAAAAATGTCAACCGGAAGTGACATTGAGTGAACCGGAAGTGGTCATTTTTGCTCTTATTTCATGTAGAAGAAGATAGAAACCATATATTTTTTGAATGGTCATACATTAATCTATCATTTGAGACCGGAAGTGATATTTTATAAACCGGAAGTAGCATATTATCTCCATTATTACAGGCATAAGTATATATAAACCATATATTTTTGGAATCAGTGTAAATAAAGCTATCATATGAGACCGAAAGTGACATTTTCTAAACCGGAAGTAGCCAATTATCTCCCTTTTTACAGGCAAAAGTATATATAAACTATATATTTTTGGAATCAGTGTAAATAAATCTATCATATGAGACCGGAAGTGACATTTTCTAAACCGGAAGTAGCCAATTATCTCCCTTTTTACAGGCAAAAGTATATATAAACCATATATTTTTGGAATCAGTGTAAATAAAGCTATCATATGAGACGGGAAGTGACATTTTCTAAACCGGAAGTTGACAATTATCTCCCTTATTTCAGGCAAAAGTCTATAGAAACCATATGTTTATTGAATCAGTATGAAGAAACCTATGATTGGACGCCAATAGTAGCTTTGAGTAAACCAGAGTTAGCTTCTCATCAATTATTTAGAAAATTGATGTGGAAAGACCTTCAATTGTTCTTTGAACAATTGGTTTTTAATTTTTATTATTTTTTTTTTCTTCTTCCGCCTTATTTTGTTCTTGCGACAAATATTTGTTTCGCAATATGTCGCTTAGATATTTGGTATATGATATCTAACAGTTTATGCGCCTTTGAAATTTACCCTGCGTAACCAAATAATTTTCTTTGTAGGAGTTATCTCCCCGAACACTGTTTTCCTTGTGCAAGCATCTCCTCCGTAACCGTAAAAGAAAGAGACAAATTTATTTTACCAAATATCTCGTTATATCCTCAGGATGTTTTGTCCAATTTTGACCGAAGCGATACGTAAACTCCATATGAGAGTTATTTCCCCTTCTGTATTTGACATAAGGGATATATAAATGTATAGCATGAATGGTAAGTGATAGAGACCTAAGGTATATTGATTTGAGTTCCTTGGTTCATTTAAATGAAATTGACGCCAAGGTCAAAGGTCAAGGTCATATTCTAAGTTTTGACTTTTCCTTGTTATTTGATCTCCTCTGTCACTTTTAAAATTACAAATTAAAGAACTAGTGCAAAATGTTTGCTAAATTGTGATTAAAATATGATACATTTGGTCTGAAATAATCCAATGATATCTTATATGAGTTATTGTCCCTGAAATGATTCAATTTAATGTTAATTGATTATTACTCCAACTTGGTACATGATAAAGCCATAAGATCTTTTGCAAAATGTTGGGTGACATATGACCTTGAAAAATGTCAACCGGAAGTGACCTTGAGTGAACCAAAAGTTGTATTTTTTGCACTTATTTCTCGGAAAAGTACCTAGAAACCATATATTTTTTGAATGATCATAGGTTAACCTATCATTTGAGACCGGAAATGAAATTTTATAAACAGGAAGTAGCATATTATCTCCCTTATTACAGGCATAAGTATATACAAACTATATATTTTTGGAATCAGTGTAAATAAAGCTTTCATATGAGACCGAAAGTGACATTTTCTAAACCGGAAGTAGTCAATTATCTCCCTTTTTACAGGCAAAAGTATATATAAACCATATATTTTTGGAATCAGTGTAAATAAATCTATCATATGAGACCGAAAGTGACATTTTCTAAACCGGAAGTAGCCAATTATCTCCCTTTTTACAGGCAAAAGTATACATAAACCATATATTTTTGGAATCAGTGTAAATAAAGCTATCATATGAGACCGGAAGTGACATTTTCTAAAATGGAAGTTGACAAATATCTCCCTTATTTCAGGCAAAAGTCTATAGAAACCATATCTTTATTGAATCAGTATGAAGAAACCTATGATTGGACGCCAATAGTAGCTTTGAGTAAAGCAGAATTAGCTTTTCATCAATTATTTAGAAAATTGATTTGGAAAGACCCTCAGTTGTTCTTTGAACAATTGGTTTTAAATTATTATTATTTTTTTTTTCTTCCGCCTAATTTTGTTCTTGCGATAAATATTTGTTTCGCAATATGTCGCTTAGATATTTGGTATATGATATCGAACAGTTTATGCGCCTTTCAAATTTACCCTGCGTAACCAAATAATTTTCTTTGTAGGAGTTATCTCCCCGAACACTGTTTTCCTTGTGCAAGCATCTCCTCCGTAACCGTAAAAGAAAGCGACAAATTTATTTTACCAAATTGCTCGTTATATCCTCAGGATGTTTTGTCCAATTTTGACCGAAGCGATACGTAAACTCCATATGAGAGTTATTTCCCCTTCTGTATTTGACATAAGGGATATATAAATGTATAGCATGAATGGTAAGTGATAGAGACCTAAGGTATATTGATTTGAGTTCCTTGGTTCATTTAAATGAAATTGAGGCCAAGGTCAAAGGTCAAGGTCATATTCTAAATTTTGACTTTTCCTTGTTATTTCATCTCCTCTGTCACTTTTAAAATTACAAATTAAAGAACTAGTGCAAAATGTTTGCTTAACTGTGATTAAGATATGATACATTTGGTCTGAAACAATCCAATGATATCTTATAAGAGTTATTGTCCCTGAAATGATTAAATTTAAGGTTAATTGATTATTACTCCAACTTGGTACATGATAAAGCCATAGGGTCTTTTGCAAACTGTTGGTTGACATATGACCTTGAAAAAATAAAACCGGAAGTGACCTTGAGTGAACCAAAAGTTGTATTTTTTGCACTTATTTCTCGGAAAAGTACCTAGAAACCATATATTTTTTGAATGATCATAGGTTAACCTATCATTTGAGACCGGAAATGAAATTTTATAAACCGGAAGTAGCATATTATCTCCCTTATTACAGGCATAAGTATATACAAACTATATATTTTTGGAATCAGTGTAAATAAAGCTTTCATATGAGACCGAAAGTGACATTTTCTAAACCGGAAGTAGTCAATTATCTCCCTTTTTACAGGCAAAAGTATATATAAACCATATTTTTTTGGAATCAGTGTAAATAAATCTATCATATGAGACCAAAAGTGACATTTTCTAAACCGGAAGCAGCCAATTATCTCCCTTTTTACAGGCAAAAGTATATATAAACCATATATTTTTAGAATCAGTGTAAATAAAGCTATCATATGAGACCGGAAGTGACATTTTCTAAACCGGAAGTTGACAATTATCTCCCTTATTTCAGGCAAAAGTCTATAGAAACCATATGTTTTTTGAATCAATATGAAGAAACCTATGATTGGACGCCAATAGTAGCTTTGAGTAAACCAGATTTAGCTTTTCATCAATTATTTAGAAAATTGATGTGGAAAGACCTTCAATTGTTCTTTGAACAATTGGTTTTTAATTATTATTATTTTTTTTCTTCTTCCGCCTAATTTTGTTCTTGCGATAAATATTTGTTTCACAATATGTCGCCTAGATATTTCTCATATTGTATCGTATAGTTTATGTGCTTTTAAATTTCACCCTGCTGAGACGAACAATTTTCTTTGTAAGAGTTATCTCCCTATTCACTGTTTATCAAGTGTGTGCATCTCCTTCGTAACAAAAAAAGATATCGACAAAATTCTTTTTCTAAATTGTTCGTTACATCCTCAGGAATTTTTGGCTAATTTGGATTGAAGCGATTCGATGAAATTTTAAAGGAGTTATCTACCTTTATGAAATAAATTTGTCGTTATGTTTTTGTAACTCATAAACCATAAGCCGTATAAACCTATAGTCTTTTTATTTGAGGTCCTTGGGGCCTAACTTAGAAAATGAGGTCAAGGTCAAAGGTCAAGGTTCTCTGATATTTTTAACCATATATATAAAAGAACTAGCGCAAAATTTTCGTTGTATTGGGATGAAGATATGATACATTTGCTCTGAAACAATCCAGTGACATCTTATAGGAGTTATTGCCCCTGAAATGTTTTATTTTAAGGTAAATTGATTATTACTTCAGATTGGTACATGATAAAGCAATACGGTCTTTTAGAAAATGTTAAGTGACATGTGACCTTGAAAATTATCAACCGGAAGTGACCTTGAATAAACCGGAAGTAGTCATTTTTGCACTTATTTTATGTAAAAATACATAGAAACCATATATTTTTTGAATGGTAATACATTAACCTATCATTTGAGACCGAAAGTGACATTTTAAAACCGGAAGTAGCATATTATCTCCCTTATTACAGGCATAAGTATATACAAACTATATATTTTTGGAATCAGTGTGAATAAAGCTATCGAATGAGACCGGAAGTGACATTTTCTAAAACGGAAGTAGCCAATTATTTCCTTTTTACGGGCAAAAGTATATATAAACCATATATTTTTGGAATCAGTGTAAATAAAGCTATCATATGAGACCGGAAGTGACATTTTTTAAACCGGAAGTTGACAATTATCTCCCTTATTTCAGGCAAAAGTCTTTAGAAACCATATATCTATTGAATCAGTATGAAGAAACCTATGATTTGACGCTAATAGTAGCTTTGAGTAAACCAGAAGTAGCTTCTTATCAATTATTTAGAAAATTGATGTGGAAAGACCTTCAATTGTTCTTTGAACAATTGGTTTTTAATATTGTTATTACAATTCTTCTCGAAAAAATTGACCAAACTCTTGTGTCCGCTACTGTACTAAAACTACATGTCCAATTGACCTCAAAATTTGCAGTCATCAGGGTATACATGTATTTCTTCTTCATAGAACAACGTGGTGCAGCTACCTCCCAAGAATTTCCGTAGAGAAAAGAAATTGCAATGCCTGAAAATCGCTTGCTAGGTCCGTAAATCTCAGTGAAATCCTACAATAAAATGTCTGCTCCTAGATTAAAATACAAATCTGTGTTACAAACTGCTGCTGAAAAATGTACATTGTATGAAAATAATCGATAAACGTGTTTTAAAGTTACACCGGATCAATTAAATCCAAAGCATGCACTGCTTGTGAACTGTGATCGAAACGTCAATTTCCTACAATGACAAAAGAAATACATTGTGTGTATTCCGTCGCTATACATGTTGTCTGTCCAACGTCTCCACCTAAAAAGAAATTAAAATGCTAAGTTTTCGCTATTATAAAGCGTCGTCACGTGACGCCACAATCTTGCGCGAGACAAAGACGCGCGCGGGACCTAAAATAGAATAAAAACTTTCCAAACTAAATATTGAAACTTAACCAACACAATAATATAAACTCTTGTCTGAAAATGAGGACTTGGGGTCCCTCCCCTCTTTTTATTTAGGGGGGGGCTATTAAACCTGAATCTTTCTATTACTTGTGTTTTTTTTTCTCTCTCCTTGTAATGTGAACAATTGACTGGTAGACGTTAAAACATGCATTGAACAAATAAAACAAACAAACATACAAACAAACAAAACTAACAAACAAATCAACCAACCAACCAACCAACCAACCAATCATGTTTTCAGAGGGGAAAGACCGTTTACAATTGCTTTTTTAAAGCAATTGATTTATATTATAAATGAGCGTGTTTCACCATTCTAATATACCGTTTATATAAAAAAATGTCTCCATGGGACCCTCCTTTCGCCTTTCCCCCTTTTATACCCTCCACTTACACATCTTGAATCTAGCTGTTGCTATCCTGTCCACGGAAAAGAACGACAACTCTATTTTTTTCCCTTAATTAGGTCTTTCCACTTTTCTGTGGAAAGACCTATTGTATTTGTTCTGATTAATAGGTCTTTCCACTTTTCTGTGGAAAGACCTATTGTATTTGTTCTGATTATTATTAGGTCTTTCCACTTTTCTGTGGAAAGACCTATTGTATTTGTTCTGATTATTATTATTATTTTTTTTTTTTTTTCTTCCGCCAAATTTTGTTCTTGCGATAATTGTTTGTTTCGTAATATGTTGCTTAGATATTTCTCATATTGTATCGTATAGTTAATGCGCTTTTAAATTTCACCCTGCTAAGCCGAACCATTTTCTTTGTAAGAGTTATCTCCCTATTCACTGTTTATCATCTGTGTGCATCTCCTTCGTAACAAAAAAAGATATCGACAAAATTCTGTTTACAAATTGTTCGTTACATCCTCAGGAATTTTTGGCTAATTTGGATCGAAGCGATTCGATGAAATTTTATAGGAGTTATCTACCTTTATCAAATAAATTTGTCGTTATGTTTTTGTAACTCATAAACTGTAAGCCGTATAAACCTATAGTCTTTTTATTTAAGGTCCTTGGATCCCAACTTCGAAAATGAGGTCAAGGTCAAAGGTCAATGTCATGTTCTGAATTTTGTCTTTTGCTTGTTTTTGCATTTTCTCCGATATTTTTAATGTTATATATTAAAGAACAAGTGCAAAATGTTTGTTATATTGTGATGGAGATATGATACATTTGGTCTGAGACAATCCAGCGACATCTTATTCGAGTTGTTGCCCCTGAAATGTTTTAGTTTAAGGTAAATTGATTATTACTTCATATTGGTACATGATAAAGCCATAAGATCTTTTGCAAAATGTTGGGTGACATATGACCTTGAAAAATGTCAACCGGAAGTGACCTTGAGTGAACCGGAAGTAGTCATTTTTGCACTTATTTCATGTAGAAGTACATAGAAACCATATATTTTTTGAATGGTCATACATTAATCTATCATTTGAGACCGGAAGTGATATTTTATAAACCGGAAGTAGCATATTATCTCCCTTTTTACAGGCAAAAGTATATATAAACCATATATTTTTGGAATCAGTGTAAACAAAGCTATCATATGAGACCGAAAGTGACATTTTCTAAACCGGAAGTAGCCATTTATCTCCTTTTTTACAGGCAAAAGTATATATAAACCATATATTTTTGGAATCAGTGTAAATAAATCTATCATATGAGACCGGAAGTGACATTTTCTAAACCGAAAGTAGCCAATTATCTCCCTTTTTACAGGCAAAAGTATATATAAACCATATATTTTTGGAATCAGTGTAAATAAAGCTATCACATGAGACCGAAAGTGACATTTTCTAAACCGGATGTTGACAATTATCTCCCTTATTTCAGGCAAAAGTCTATAGAAACCATGTTTATTGAATCAGTATGAAGAAACTTATGATTGGACGCCAATAGTAGCTTAGAGTAAACCAGAATTATCTTCTCATCAAATATTTAGAAAATTGATGTGGAAAGACCTTCAATTGTTCTTTGAACAATTGGTTTTTAATTATTATTATTATTTTTTTTTTTTTTCTTCCGCCAAATTTTGTTCTTGCGATAAATGTTTGTTTCGCAATATGTCGCTTAGATATTTCTCATATTGTATCGTATAGTTTATGCGCTTTTAAATTTCACCCTGCTAAGCCGAACCGTTTTCTTTGCAAGAGTTATCTCCATATTCACTGTTTATCATCTGTGTGCATCTCCTTCGTAACAAAAAAAGTTATCGACAAAATTCTTTTAACAAATTGCTCGTTACATTCTCATGAATTTTTGGCTAATTTGGATCGAAGCGATTCGATAAAATTCTATAGGAGTTATCTACCTTTACACAATAAATTTGTCGGTATGTGTTTTCAACTAATCAACTGTTAACCGTATAACCCTGGAATATTTTTATTTGAGACCCCTAGGTCCTAACTTAGAAAACGAGGTCAAGGTCAAAGGTCAAGGTCATGTTCTGAATTTTGTCTTTTGCTTGTTTTTGCATTTTCTCCGATATTTTTAATGTTATTTATTAAAGAACAAGTGCAAAATGTTTGTTATATTGTGATGAAGATATGATACATTAGGTCTGAGACAATCCAGCGACATCTTATTGGAGTTATTGTCCCTGAAATGTTTCATTTTAAGGTAAATTGATTATTACTTCATATTGGTACATGATAAAGCCAAAAGATCTTTTGCAAAATGTTGGGTGACATATGATTTTGAAAAATGTCAACCGGAAGTGACCTTGAGTGAACCGGAAGTAGTAATTTTTGCACTTATTTCATGTAGAATTACATAGAAACCATATATTTTTTGAATGGTCATACATTAATCTATCATTTGAGACTGGAAATGACATTTTATAAACCGGAAGTAGCATATTATCTTCCTTATTACAGGCATAAGTATATACAAACTATATATTTTTGGAATCAGTGTGAATAAAGCTATCATATGAGACCGGAAGTGACATTTTCTAAACCGGAAGTTGGCAATTATCTCCCTTATTTCAGGCAAAAGTATATAGAAACCATTTATTTATTGAATCAGTATGAAGAAATCTATACTTTGACGCTATTAATAACTTTGAGTAACCAAGAAGTAGCTTCCTATCAATTATTTAGAAAATTGATGTGGAAAGACCTTCAATTGTTCTTTGAACAATTGGTTTTTAATTTATTTTTTTTTCTTCTGCCTAATTTTGTTCTTGCGATAAATATTTGTTTCGCAATATGTCGCTTAGATATTTCTCATATTGTATCGTATAGTTTATGCGCTTTTGCAAAATGTTGGGTGATATATGACTTTGAAAAATGTCAACCGGAAGTGACCTTGAGTGAACCGGAAGTAGTAATTTTTGCACTTATTTCATGTAAAATTACATAGAAACCATATATTTTTTGAATGGTCATACATTAATCTATCATTTGAGACCGGAAATGACATTTTATAAACCGGAAGTAGCATATTATCTTCCTTATTACAGGCATAAGTATATACAAACTATATATTTTTGGAATCAGTGTGAATAAAGCTATCATATGAGACCGGAAGTGACATTTTCTAAACCGGAAGTTGGCAATTATCTCCCTTATTTCAGGCAAAAGTATATAGAAACCATTTATTTATTGAATCAGTATGAAGAAATCTATACTTTGACGCTATTAATAACTTTGAGTAACCAAGAAGTAGCTTCCTATCAATTATTTAGAAAATTGATGTGGAAAGACCTTCAATTGTTCTTTGAACAATTGGTTTTTAATTTATTTTTTTTTCTTCCGCCTAATTTTGTTCTTGCGATAAATATTTGTTTCGCAATATGTCGCTTAGATATTTTGTATATGAAATTTAAGTTTATACGCCTTTGAAAATTACCCTGCGTAACCAAATAATTTTCTTTGTAGGAGTTATCTCCCCAACACTGTTTTCCTTGTGCACACATCTCCTTCGTAACCGCAAAGGAAAGCGACAAATTTATTTTACCAAATTGCTCGTTATATCCTCAGGATGTTTAGTTCCAATTTTGTCCGAAGCGATACGTAAACTCCATATGAGAGTTATTTCCCCTTCTTTATTTGACATAAGGGATATATAAATGTATAGCATGAATGGTAAGTGATAGAGACCTAAGGTATATTGATTTGAGTTCCTTGGTTCATTTGAATGAAATTGAGGCCAAGGTCAAAGGTCAAGGTCATATTCTAAATTTTGACTTTTCCTTGTTATTTGATCTCCTCTGTCACTTTTAAAATTACAAATTAAAGAACTAGTGCAAAATTTTTGCTTAATTGTGATTAAGATATGATACATTTGGTCTGAAACAATCCAATGATATCTTATAAGAGTTATTGTCCCTGAAATGATTAAATTTAAGGTTAATTGATTATTACTCCAACTTGGTACATGATAAAGCCATAGGGTCTTTTGCAAACTGTTGGTTGACATATGACCTTGAAAAAATAAAACCGGAAGTGACCTTGAGTGAACCAAAAGTTGTATTTTTTGCACTTATTTCTCGGAAAAGTACCTAGAAACCATATATTTTTTGAATGATCATAGGTTAACCTATCATTTGAGACCGGAAATGAAATTTTATAAACCGGAAGTAGCATATTATCTCCCTTATTACAGGCATAAGTATATACAAACTATATATTTTTGGAATCAGTGTAAATAAAGCTTTCATATGAGACCGAAAGTGACATTTTCTAAACCGGAAGTAGTCAATTATCTCCCTTTTTACAGGCAAAAGTATATATAAACCATATTTTTTTGGAATCAGTGTAAATAAATCTATCATATGAGACCAAAAGTGACATTTTCTAAACCGGAAGCAGCCAATTATCTCCCTTTTTACAGGCAAAAGTATATATAAACCATATATTTTTAGAATCAGTGTAAATAAAGCTATCATATGAGACCGGAAGTGACATTTTCTAAACCGGAAGTTGACAATTATCTCCCTTATTTCAGGCAAAAGTCTATAGAAACCATATGTTTTTTGAATCAATATGAAGAAACCTATGATTGGACGCCAATAGTAGCTTTGAGTAAACCAGATTTAGCTTTTCATCAATTATTTAGAAAATTGATGTGGAAAGACCTTCAATTGTTCTTTGAACAATTGGTTTTTAATTATTATTATTTTTTTTCTTCTTCCGCCTAATTTTGTTCTTGCGATAAATATTTGTTTCACAATATGTCGCCTAGATATTTCTCATATTGTATCGTATAGTTTATGTGCTTTTAAATTTCACCCTGCTGAGACGAACAATTTTCTTTGTAAGAGTTATCTCCCTATTCACTGTTTATCAAGTGTGTGCATCTCCTTCGTAACAAAAAAAGATATCGACAAAATTCTTTTTCTAAATTGTTCGTTACATCCTCAGGAATTTTTGGCTAATTTGGATTGAAGCGATTCGATGAAATTTTATAGGAGTTATCTACCTTTATGAAATAAATTTGTCGTTATGTTTTTGTAACTCATAAACCATAAGCCGTATAAACCTATAGTCTTTTTATTTGAGGTCCTTGGGGCCTAACTTAGAAAATGAGGTCAAGGTCAAAGGTCAAGGTTCTCTGATATTTTTAACCATATATATAAAAGAACTAGCGCAAAATTTTCGTTGTATTGGGATGAAGATATGATACATTTGCTCTGAAACAATCCAGTGACATCTTATAGGAGTTATTGCCCCTGAAATGTTTTATTTTAAGGTAAATTGATTATTACTTCAGATTGGTACATGATAAAGCAATACGGTCTTTTAGAAAATGTTAAGTGACATGTGACCTTGAAAATTATCAACCGGAAGTGACCTTGAATAAACCGGAAGTAGTCATTTTTGCACTTATTTTATGTAAAAATACATAGAAACCATATATTTTTTGAATGGTAATACATTAACCTATCATTTGAGACCGAAAGTGACATTTTAAAACCGGAAGTAGCATATTATCTCCCTTATTACAGGCATAAGTATATACAAACTATATATTTTTGGAATCAGTGTGAATAAAGCTATCGAATGAGACCGGAAGTGACATTTTCTAAAACGGAAGTAGCCAATTATTTCCTTTTTACGGGCAAAAGTATATATAAACCATATATTTTTGGAATCAGTGTAAATAAAGCTATCATATGAGACCGGAAGTGACATTTTTTAAACCGGAAGTTGACAATTATCTCCCTTATTTCAGGCAAAAGTCTTTAGAAACCATATATCTATTGAATCAGTATGAAGAAACCTATGATTTGACGCTAATAGTAGCTTTGAGTAAACCAGAAGTAGCTTCTTATCAATTATTTAGAAAATTGATGTGGAAAGACCTTCAATTGTTCTTTGAACAATTGGTTTTTAATATTGTTATTACAATTCTTCTCGAAAAAATTGACCAAACTCTTGTGTCCGCTACTGTACTAAAACTACATGTCCAATTGACCTCAAAATTTGCAGTCATCAGGGTATACATGTATTTCTTCTTCATAGAACAACGTGGTGCAGCTACCTCCCAAGAATTTCCGTAGAGAAAAGAAATTGCAATGCCTGAAAATCGCTTGCTAGGTCCGTAAATCTCAGTGAAATCCTACAATAAAATGTCTGCTCCTAGATTAAAATACAAATCTGTGTTACAAACTGCTGCTGAAAAATGTACATTGTATGAAAATAATCGATAAACGTGTTTTAAAGTTACACCGGATCAATTAAATCCAAAGCATGCACTGCTTGTGAACTGTGATCGAAACGTCAATTTCCTACAATGACAAAAGAAATACATTGTGTGTATTCCGTCGCTATACATGTTGTCTGTCCAACGTCTCCACCTAAAAAGAAATTAAAATGCTAAGTTTTCGCTATTATAAAGCGTCGTCACGTGACGCCACAATCTTGCGCGAGACAAAGACGCGCGCGGGACCTAAAATAGAATAAAAACTTTCCAAACTAAATATTGAAACTTAACCAACACAATAATATAAACTCTTGTCTGAAAATGAGGACTTGGGGTCCCTCCCCTCTTTTTATTTAGGGGGGGCTATTAAACCTGAATCTTTCTATTACTTGTGTTTTTTTTTCTCTCTCCTTGTAATGTGAACAATTGACTGGTAGACGTTAAAACATGCATTGAACAAATAAAACAAACAAACATACAAACAAACAAAACTAACAAACAAATCAACCAACCAACCAACCAACCAACCAATCATGTTTTCAGAGGGGAAAGACCGTTTACAATTGCTTTTTTAAAGCAATTGATTTATATTATAAATGAGCGTGTTTCACCATTCTAATATACCGTTTATATAAAAAAATGTCTCCATGGGACCCTCCTTTCGCCTTTCCCCCTTTTATACCCTCCACTTACACATCTTGAATCTAGCTGTTGCTATCCTGTCCACGGAAAAGAACGACAACTCTATTTTTTTCCCTTAATTAGGTCTTTCCACTTTTCTGTGGAAAGACCTATTGTATTTGTTCTGATTATTAGGTCTTTCCACTTTTCTGTGGAAAGACCTATTGTATTTGTTCTGATTATTATTAGGTCTTTCCACTTTTCTGTGGAAAGACCTATTGTATTTGTTCTGATTATTATTATTATTTTTTTTTTTTTTTCTTCCGCCAAATTTTGTTCTTGCGATAATTGTTTGTTTCGTAATATGTTGCTTAGATATTTCTCATATTGTATCGTATAGTTAATGCGCTTTTAAATTTCACCCTGCTAAGCCGAACCATTTTCTTTGTAAGAGTTATCTCCCTATTCACTGTTTATCATCTGTGTGCATCTCCTTCGTAACAAAAAAAGATATCGACAAAATTCTGTTTACAAATTGTTCGTTACATCCTCAGGAATTTTTGGCTAATTTGGATCGAAGCGATTCGATGAAATTTTATAGGAGTTATCTACCCTTATCAAATAAATTTGTCGTTATGTTTTTGTAACTCATAAACTGTAAGCCGTATAAACCTATAGTCTTTTTATTTAAGGTCCTTGGATCCCAACTTCGAAAATGAGGTCAAGGTCAAAGGTCAATGTCATGTTCTGAATTTTGTCTTTTGCTTGTTTTTGCATTTTCTCCGATATTTTTAATGTTATATATTAAAGAACAAGTGCAAAATGTTTGTTATATTGTGATGGAGATATGATACATTTGGTCTGAGACAATCCAGCGACATCTTATTCGAGTTGTTGCCCCTGAAATGTTTTAGTTTAAGGTAAATTGATTATTACTTCATATTGGTACATGATAAAGCCATAAGATCTTTTGCAAAATGTTGGGTGACATATGACCTTGAAAAATGTCAACCGGAAGTGACCTTGAGTGAACCGGAAGTAGTCATTTTTGCACTTATTTCATGTAGAAGTACATAGACACCATATATTTTTTGAATGGTCATACATTAATCTATCATTTGAGACCGGAAGTGATATTTTATAAACCGGAAGTAGCATATTATCTCCCTTTTTACAGGCAAAAGTATATATAAACCATATATTTTTGGAATCAGTGTAAACAAAGCTATCATATGAGACCGAAAGTGACATTTTCTAAACCGGAAGTAGCCATTTATCTCCCTTTTTACAGGCAAAAGTATATATAAACCATATATTTTTGGAATCAGTGTAAATAAATCTATCATATGAGACCGGAAGTGACATTTTCTAAACCGAAAGTAGCCAATTATCTCCCTTTTTACAGGCAAAAGTATATATAAACCATATATTTTTGGAATCAGTGTAAATAAAGCTATCACATGAGACCGAAAGTGACATTTTCTAAACCGGATGTTGACAATTATCTCCCTTATTTCAGGCAAAAGTCTATAGAAACCATGTTTATTGAATCAGTATGAAGAAACTTATGATTGGACGCCAATAGTAGCTTAGAGTAAACCAGAATTATCTTCTCATCAAATATTTAGAAAATTGATGTGGAAAGACCTTCAATTGTTCTTTGAACAATTGGTTTTTAATTATTATTATTATTTTTTTTTTTTTTCTTCCGCCAAATTTTGTTCTTGCGATAAATGTTTGTTTCGCAATATGTCGCTTAGATATTTCTCATATTGTATCGTATAGTTTATGCGCTTTTAAATTTCACCCTGCTAAGCCGAACCGTTTTCTTTGCAAGAGTTATCTCCCTATTCACTGTTTATCATCTGTGTGCATCTCCTTCGTAACAAAAAAAGTTATCGACAAAATTCTTTTAACAAATTGCTCGTTACATTCTCATGAATTTTTGGCTAATTTGGATCGAAGCGATTCGATAAAATTCTATAGGAGTTATCTACCTTTACACAATAAATTTGTCGGTATGTGTTTTCAACTAATCAACTGTTAACCGTATAACCCTGGAATATTTTTATTTGAGACCCCTAGGTCCTAACTTAGAAAACGAGGTCAAGGTCAAAGGTCAAGGTCATGTTCTGAATTTTGTCTTTTGCTTGTTTTTGCATTTTCTCCGATATTTTTAATGTTATTTATTAAAGAACAAGTGCAAAATGTTTGTTATATTGTGATGAAGATATGATACATTAGGTCTGAGACAATCCAGCGACATCTTATTGGAGTTATTGTCCCTGAAATGTTTTATTTTAAGGTAAATTGATTATTACTTCATATTGGTACATGATAAAGCCAAAAGATCTTTTGCAAAATGTTGGGTGACATATGATTTTGAAAAATGTCAACCGGAAGTGACCTTGAGTGAACCGGAAGTAGTAATTTTTGCACTTATTTCATGTAGAATTACATAGAAACCATATATTTTTTGAATGGTCATACATTAATCTATCATTTGAGACTAGAAATGACATTTTATAAACCGGAAGTAGCATATTATCTTCCTTATTACAGGCATAAGTATATACAAACTATATATTTTTGGAATCAGTGTGAATAAAGCTATCATATGAGACCGGAAGTGACATTTTCTAAACCGGAAGTTGGCAATTATCTCCCTTATTTCAGGCAAAAGTATATAGAAACCATTTATTTATTGAATCAGTATGAAGAAATCTATACTTTGACGCTATTAATAACTTTGAGTAACCAAGAAGTAGCTTCCTATCAATTATTTAGAAAATTGATGTGGAAAGACCTTCAATTGTTCTTTGAACAATTGGTTTTTAATTTATTTTTTTTTCTTCTGCCTAATTTTGTTCTTGCGATAAATATTTGTTTCGCAATATGTCGCTTAGATATTTCTCATATTGTATCGTATAGTTTATGCGCTTTTGCAAAATGTTGGGTGATATATGACTTTGAAAAATGTCAACCGGAAGTGACCTTGAGTGAACCGGAAGTAGTAATTTTTGCACTTATTTCATGTAGAATTACATAGAAACCATATATTTTTTGAATGGTCATACATTAATCTATCATTTGAGACCGGAAATGACATTTTATAAACCGGAAGTAGCATATTATCTTCCTTATTACAGGCATAAGTATATACAAACTATATATTTTTGGAATCAGTGTGAATAAAGCTATCATATGAGACCGGAAGTGACATTTTCTAAACCGGAAGTTGGCAATTATCTCCCTTATTTCAGGCAAAAGTATATAGAAACCATTTATTTATTGAATCAGTATGAAGAAATCTATACTTTGACGCTATTAATAACTTTGAGTAACCAAGAAGTAGCTTCCTATCAATTATTTAGAAAATTGATGTGGAAAGACCTTCAATTGTTCTTTGAACAATTGGTTTTTAATTTATTTTTTTTTCTTCCGCCTAATTTTGTTCTTGCGATAAATATTTGTTTCGCAATATGTCGCTTAGATATTTTGTATATGAAATTTAAGTTTATACGCCTTTGAAAATTACCCTGCGTAACCAAATAATTTTCTTTGTAGGAGTTATCTCCCCAACACTGTTTTCCTTGTGCACACATCTCCTTCGTAACCGCAAAGGAAAGCGACAAATTTATTTTACCAAATTGCTCGTTATATCCTCAGGATGTTTAGTTCCAATTTTGTCCGAAGCGATACGTAAACTCCATATGAGAGTTATTTCCCCTTCTTTATTTGACATAAGGGATATATAAATGTATAGCATGAATGGTAAGTGATAGAGACCTAAGGTATATTGATTTGAGTTCCTTGGTTCATTTGAATGAAATTGAGGCCAAGGTCAAAGGTCAAGGTCATATTCTAAATTTTGACTTTTCCTTGTTATTTGATCTCCTCTGTCACTTTTAAAATTACAAATTAAAGAACTAGTGCAAAATTTTTGCTTAATTGTGATTAAGATATGATACATTTGGTCTGAAACAATCATGTTTTCAGAGGGGAAAGACCGTTTACAATTGCTTTTTTAAAGCAATTGATTTATATTTATTTTTTTTTTCCGTCTAATTTTGTTCTTGCGATAAATATTTGTTTCACAATATGTCGCTTAGATATTTCTCATATTGTATCGTATAGTTTATGCGCTTTTAAATTTCACCCTGCTGAGACGAACAATTTTCTTTGTAAGAGTTATCTCCCTATTCACTGTTTATCAAGTGTGTGCATCTCCTTCGTAACAAAAAAAGATATCGTCAAAATTCTTTTTCTAAATTGTTTGTTACATCCTCAGGAATTTTTGGCTTATTTGGATTGAAGCGATTCGATGAAATTTTATAGGAGTTATCTACCTTTATGAAATAAATTTGTCGTTATGTTTTTGTAACTCATAAACCGTAAGCCGTATAAACCTATAGTCTTTTTATTTGAGGTCCTTGGGGCCTAACTTAGAAAATGAGGTCAAGGTCAAAGGTCAAGGTCATGTTCTCAATTTTGTCTTTTGCTTGTTTTTGCATTTTCTCTGATATTTTTAACGTTATATATAAAAGAACTAGCGCAAAATGTTTGTTGTATTGTGATGAAGATATGATACATTTGCTCTGAAACAATCCAGTGACATCTTATAGGAGTTATTGCCCCTGAAATGCTTTATTTTAGGGTAAATTGATTATTACTTCAGATTGGTACATGATAAAGCAATACGGTCTATAAGAAAATGTTAAGTGACATGTTACCTTGAAAAATATCAACCGGAAGTGACCTTGAGTAAACCGGAAGTAGTCTTTTTTGCACTTATTTTATGTAAAAATACATAGAAACCATATATTTTTTGAATGGTCATACATTAACCTATCATTTGAGACCGGAAGTGACATTTAAAACCGGAAGTAGCATATTATCTCGCTTATTACAGGCATAAGTATATACAAACTATATATTTTTGGAATCAGTGTGAATAAAGCTATCGAATGAGACCGGAAGTGACATTTTCTAAAACGGAAGTAGCCAATTATCTCCCATATACGGGCAAAAGTATATATAAACCATATATTTTTTGAATCAGTGTAAATAAAGCTGTCTTATGAGACCGGAAGTGACATTTTCTAAACCGGAAGTTGGCAATTATCTCCCTTATTTCAGGCAAAAGTATATAGAAACCATTTATTTATTGAATCAGTATGAAGAAATCTATACTTTGACGCTATTAATAACTTTGAGTAAACCAGAAGTAGCTTCCTATCAATTATTTAGAAAATTGATGTGGAAAGACCTTCAATTGTTCTTTGAACAATTGGTTTTTAATTATTAGAAAAGTGGAAAGACCTATTGTATTTGTTCTGATTATTATTATTTTCTTCCGCAAAATTTTGTTCTCGAGTAAAATTTTTGTTTCGCAAGATGTCGCTTAGATATTTCTTATATAGTATCACACAGTTTATTCGCTTTTTATTTTCACCCATTCTAAGCCGAACAATTTTCTTTGTAGGAGTTATCTCCCCGAACACTGTTTTACTTGTGACTGCATCTCCTCCGTAACCGTAAAAGAAAGCGACAAATTTATTTTATAAAATTGCTCGTTATATCCTTTGCATGATTTGTCCTATTTTGACCGAAGCGATATGAATATTCCATATGAGAGTTATTTCCCCTTATGCATTTGAAATAAGTGATATGCATTTGTAACTGGTAAACCATAAATGATAGACCTAGGGTCTGTTGATTTGAGGTCCTTGGTCCAAAAAAATGAAAATTAGGTCAATGTCAAAGGTCAAGGTCATATTCAAAATTTTGATTTTGGCTTATTTTCACTTATTTGCAAAAACCGTATAATATATCGACAAATTATTTTTACTAAATTTTTTGTTGCGACATATCGTAACATGTAAATTTTGATTGCAAGGGTATGTTGAACGTAAAAGGGAGTTTTCTCCCCTCTTGTATGTAAAAATATGCGTATGGTGATATAACTCATTAACCAAATATAATTAGGACGTATGGTCTTTTGATTTGAGGTCCTTGGTTTATGACCTTGAAATTAATCTCAAGGTCATAGCTTAATTTGACATTCTAGATTTTGACCTTTGTTTTTACCTCATATGTATACATGATAAAGCCATGAGACTGTTTGCAATAGTTTTCAAACCATTTAACCTTGAAAAATAAACCGGAAGTGACCTTGTTTAAACCGGAAGTAGCTATTTTTTGTACTTTATTAATTTAAAAGTATATAACATCAGATATTTTTGGATTCAGTATCAAGTCAATATTCAAATAGTATCGGAAGTAACATTTTTCAAACCGGAAGTAACAAATTATCTCCCTAATTTAAAAAAATATTGTATAGAAACCATATATTTTTGGAATCAACGTACAATAAGCTATCATTTGACGATTGTAATGACATTTTAAACCTAATTTTACAACTTTCATATTAAAATACATGGTTTTTGTGGAAAGACCTTCAATTGTTCTCTGAACAATTGGTATTTAATTTTTTTTTTTCTTCCGCCAAATTTTGTTCTTGCGATAAATTTTTGTTTCGCAAGATGTCGCTTAGATGTTTCGTATATGATATCAAACAGTTTATGCGCCTTTGAAATTGATCCTGCTTAACCGAATAATTTTCATTGTAGGAGTTATCTCCCCGAACACTGTTTTCCTTGTGCATGCATCTCCTCCGTAACCATAAAAGAAAGCGACAAATTTATTTTACCAAATTGCTCGTTATATCCTCAGGATGTTTTGTCCAATTTTGACTGAAGCGATACGTAAACTCCATATGAGAGTTATTTCCCCTCCTGTATTTGACATAAGGGATATATAAATGTATAGCATAAATGGTAAGTGATAGAGACCTAAGGTATATTGATTTGAGATCCTTGGTTCATTTAACTAAAATTGAGGCCAAGGTCAAAGGTCAAGGTCATATTCTAAATTTTGACTTTTCCTTCTTATTTGATCTCCTCTGTCACTTTTAAAATTACAAATAAAAAAACTAGTGCAAAATGTTTGCTTAATTGTGATTAAGATATGATACATTAGGTCTGAAACAATCCAATGATATCTTATAGGAGTTATTGTCCCTGAAATGATTCAGTTTAAGGTTAATTGAT